GAAGATAATCATCCTTGACTACAAGGGATTGCCGAAGGTTTATATACACCATAACACCATACTTTTAGTATGGCAGATACTTAGGAGTGGTTAAAATATGCGTTTGTGGGTATCAAGAAGACTTCCATAAACACACTGGACTCCTTAGGACCAATTTCTGATCTTAAGGGACATAGTGAGTGTCTAAGGAGTCAGTTAAATAGCCTTGAGTATCCTTACTCTCATGTAGGAAAAAATTACACAACATAGAAAAGTTAAGAACATGAGAACAAAGTTTGCTTTTGCTCACCTCTAAACAATATATCACTTATTACAAGACAAATTCAGTTCATTGCATGTTTCAGTGTCTATAATGTATGCAAAGTCTTTTTTTCTCTATGCCCTCTTAAGGGATGAAATATTTTTTATATTTGATTTTCGGACTTTGCAAAGGAAAGTAACATCACATTTCCAATAGACTTTTCCTAAACTCTCCTTCACTGTTGTAGCTCTTCTCCTACTTACTACTGAAGCACTTGCTTTATATTTCTAAAGGGGCAGGGCCTCCTACTTTATTTAATTCCTTTAAAGGGCCTTTCTCCTTCTTCCTTGTAGTAGAGACTGAAGGAAGCCCCGTTACACTAGTGTTTGTCTATATCAGTATATTGTTTATGATGGTCAGAGCAAGAAATATTTAGAGAAAACTGATTAATCAAATATTTTCATTTGGGAAGGGGCTGGGAGAAATGAAGGAGGAGTTCATTTCTCGTGGTCTTAGAAACTGGTATAAAATCTCTTTGTAGAAATGCACAGAAGGACCTCATATGTCTCCTTCAGGTCCCGTCTTAAAACTCTGCTTTGCCATGATGAGGGTTAGGCAGATAATGCAGCATCTAATACTTGTCACACTGGAAAGATTATCTCATTTTTGTCTTGTAATTCCTGTTCTGTATGTCTGTACCCAGCTATTCCCTTGTGACTTGGGGTGGGTACAGACGTTACATGCTTTAAGTGTGCAGAAAGTGCTTTACAGCCATAACAGAACAGACATTCAAAGCACAAAGTGCTTTAAAATGGAGGATCCCACTCTAACCCTGGATGGATGTGTACTAACCTAAAGTGCTTTCTGTTAGAGCACTTTATTGAACGTCTGTCCGATCAAGGGTTAACTTAGAGCATGACTGCAGCCATCCCAGGCAGCATAGTGCAGGGCTGCTCTAGCCTTCGGCAGAACTCCTGTGCCTTGCCTAGGCACTGGCCTGGCCCTGCCGCCTCAGCTGCTACTGACCCGAGTCGATGACAGCATCTGCTCCCAGCCCCTCATGCAGCTGGGGCAAGGGGGGGTGAGGTTTCTGTTCCTGTAGCCACCCCAGGGGCGGGGAGTGGAGAGCGGGGCTGCAAGGGAAGGGCTCCAGGGTCTCTTCCCCACCACAGCAGCCCTGCCCAGGTCTGCCTGGCTGGGGCTGCTGCAGGGAAAGGACTCCAGCATCTCTGTCCCCCACAACAACCCCGTTCAGAGCTGCTTGGCCGGGGCTGCTGCAGGAACAGAGATCCTGGAGCCCTTCCCTTGCATCATCCCTGGCTGGGTCACACCACAGCTGCTGGCTGCAGCTGTCAAGAAGCTGGGGGGTGGGGGTGAACCTGGTCCATCCCTCCCAGACCCCAGCCAGCAAGCTGTGGAGCAGCCTTTATGGCAGGGGGGGATCCATTCCCCCACAGTTGTTAGCTGGTGGTGGG